ATCCACCTGCCAATGCAGGAGATACAGGAGATATACATTTGATCCCTGGGTCAGGAAGATCCCCTGGAGGAGGGCATGGCAACCCACTCCAGTATTCTTGCCTCGGAAATCCCTTGGATAGAGGAGCCTGGCAGGATTCAGCCCATGGGGTCACAAAGAATCAGACACGACTTAACAACTGAGCACACACAGCACGTACAGAAATCTTTATCAAACACTCATTCAACTATCTTTTTTTTATTTTCCCAGTAATACAAAATGTTTTATTACTAACCATAATCAATTCCATTTAGATAGTACTTTACCATACAAAATGTGTTAGCATAAATTTTCTTAAATAACAGGAAGGTGGTGAATGAATGTAGGGAATTAATAATGAACTTATACATAATCCAATCAAATCATAGAACTATGCTTTTGAAAGAAATGAAATGTGCTTCCATTTTTACTCTTAAATTGACTGAATCAAAATCCCATATTTCTTCATAATCATCAGAAAGCCTTGATAAGGCAGCATCCTACCTCTCTACCTCGTGTGGGTCATGCGATACCAACACCATGGGAAAGAGGTTAACTCTTTGGGAAGGGGCATAGGCAGTTCATTTCTGAATTCTAGCACACTCATTCTCTTTTTTCTCATCTTATCTTTATTTTTCTATTATTAGTTTCTATTGGAGGACAATTGCTTTACAATGTTGTGCTGGTCTCTGCTGAACACTAACTGAAATCAGTCATAAATTTATATATATATATCCATAATTATATATATATCCATAATTTTATATATATCCCTAATTTTGTATATATCCATAATTATATATATCCATATATATATATGCCCAAAACATGAGGACATAGACAAAGTTATCAATTTAAACTAAATGGAAAAAGGACTAACTACTGCCCTTAAAAATGTCACATAGATCTGAGGAATCCAGGTGCAGGTCCAAGGCAGGTCAACCCTTTACCACTGGGAAAACAAAGTCTTAGAGTGAGATAAAAGACACAGTGAAAGACACGGGGAAAGAATCCAGAGTCAAATGAATACATTGCCCAAGAGTGAGTCTCAGATTAGGAGTATCTACTAAAATTTTCTGTGCTCATACTCTCCAACTCAGCATTCCATCCCTTAGAATATATTCTGTATCATACTAACTCTCTCATGAGTGCAAAATATTTATATACAAAAGTATCCATTGTAACACTGTCTATGGAGGAGAAAAAGTATTATGAATAATACGACCCCATTTCTGAATATGTGTATATAGATAACTGTGTATAAAATAACTGGAAAATATGCACATATCTCTAGCTCTCTGGGAAGTGGAATTTTAGGGAACATTCATCTTTAATTATAAAATTAATAAAAGAAACATGTGTCCCATATTTTTTAATGTGAACACATAATGTAAGGTGAAACATGGAAGGAACTCCACACTTCGTCCCTTCATTCTCACTTCAGGAGGCAACTACAATACATAACCACACACACCACAACAAACACAACATATAAAGGAGGTAACTTTCTTTACAAAAATAAGATTTCTCTGTACCCATTTTTCTGCAACTTGCTTTTGTCACTTAACAAAATATCACAGAGAGCAGTGTAACAGTGATAACATAGCTTAGCAATGAATAGCTCCTGCTCTGCCATTGGACTGCCTGAATTCAAATCTCAGCTCTACCACTTACTAACTATGGGATCTAGTAAGTTAATTGACTTTGCTAAACTATATTTTAATCTTTAAAGTAGGAATAATAGTGCATATCTCTCAAGATTTGGAGACATTAGAATGATAACAGCCAAAGTACCTAGCATGTAGCATATATTGAGTGTTAATAAATGTTGACTAGCATCAGTCATCTACATTCTTTAGAGACTGTGTGATAGTAAGTAATGCAAATCACTATAATAATTCAACTACATACGAATATTTAGGTTGGGTTATCATTGTGTTTTGTTTGTTTTATCATACTGTTTTATCTGGTATTATAAGCAATATTACAATAAAAATATGTGTACATATCCTTGTGCTACAGATATGACTATTTTAAAAGGATAGCTTCCTACAAGTGTAATCATTGGATAAGGAGATGAAGGTTTTCAAATCCAATGGAGACTATCAAAAGGTTTATACTGATAATTGTCTCACCATCAGTATGTGGAGATTTTCCTTTGGATATTGTTCAAACAATTTTATGGATATTCTGATAAATGATAATTGTACTTAAGTCTAATTTCTATTTTCTGATTACCAATAAGGTTGAACATCTTACATTTTTTTTTGGTAAATGTGTTGTAGGTATTTTCTTTGAGTCAATAGCTTATATTTTCGCTATTCTTGTGGTCTCTTTGGGGGTAATGTTCATATTTTTTAGTATGGTATTTTGTCATCCTTGCTTCTACAACTTTTTTCTTGCCTGGAATGGCATCCCCATCCTGAGACCATAAAAATGTGGTCCTTTATTTTTTCCTAATTAATATATTTTATGTTTTTGATTCTTAATGTTTAGATAATTAATTCATATGGATTTGTGCAGCTGAGAGAGAAATCCAGCATCATTTTTACCAAATGTTTAGCCAATTATCATAAATGTCACTTGATATTCCATCCTTTCTCCATTACTACGAAATGAATCCTTATTATATACTAAGTTCCATATAGATCTAGATCTATGTATATGTATAAATACAGGCGTACAAACTTCTTTGTTGGTCCATTGAATAAGGTATATCATTACCTTATTGTTTTTCATTTCTATGTCCTTTGATTTTCAGGTAAGAAAATTCTGTCATTATCCTAATATTTTCAGAATTATCTTATCTTTTCTTAGCCATTTACACATCTAGATGACTTTTAGAATGACCTTCTCAATTCCATGAAAAATTCCCCTTCATATTGGGATTGGTATATATACACTATTGATACTGTGTATAAAATAGATAACTAATCAGAGTATACTGGATAGCACAGGGAACTCTACTCAATGCTTGTGGTGACCTAAATGGGAAGGAAATCCCAAAAAGAGGAAATAAATGTATAGAAACAGCTGATTCACTTTGCTGTACAGCAGAAGTTAACACAACATTGTACAGCAACTATACTCCAAGAAAAATTAATTTAAAAGATAAAAATATAAATCCTCTTGAGGTGTTATTATAGGTGCATTGAATCATTAGTTTGAAATTTTTTTCAGATTTATTTAGATAAATTAGCATGTAACATTGCATACATTTAAGGTGTACAATGTGATGTTTGATACACTGATATATGGCAAAATGATTGCCACACTGGGATTAGTTAACACCTTGAACAACTCACACAATTACCTTTTTGTATGTGTGTGTGGTGGGAAGATCTAAGATCTACTCTCGTAAGAAGAATGGTGGTCACCAGAGATGAGAGTTGGAAGAATGGGGAAAATGTTGTTTAAGAGTACAAAATTTGCAATCATTATTAGAACAATAAGCACAGGAGATCTAATACACAGCCTAGCAATTACAGACCACAATACTAAACTATGCACGTACCTCAAAAGTAGCTAAGAGACTAGATCTTAATTACTCCCACCACACAAAAAGAAATGATAATTATGTGTAGTGATAGAGGTGTTAGCTAATGATATGCTGGTAAACAATTTTTTAAAAAAGATTAAAGGAACTAGATTAAAATCTGAAAAAACTGTATCAAATCAAAAATTGCACACCTTAACTTACACAATGCTATACGTTGATTTTATCTCAGTTTGAACAATGTAGCACAATGGTAGCAGCCAGCGGCCATCTGCGCCTTCTCTTCCATGATACTGGTGGGAATGGGGCTCATATTCAAAGTTTTATATTCCTGCAGTAATTGGATGTTTAGTATGAGAACTTCAACATTTTCAATTGGAAACAAATGTATATTTAAAGGTATAAACTCAGTAACATAGGCTATTCCTGGGGTAGAACAGTTGACTCTTGAATAATACAAAAATAGAGGACACTGACCCTTCCTGCAGCCAAAAATGCACATATAACTACCCAGTCAGCATGCCATATCCATGGGTTCTACTTTCAAGGATTCAACAACCAACAGATCATGTGGTACTGTACTACATATTTATTGAAAAATCTACATGTAAGTGGATCTGCACAATTCAAGCCCATGTTGTTCAGTGGTCAACTATATTCTTATTTTGAATGACATCCCTGACCCTCAGTGCAGGAGACCCAGGTTCGACCCCTGGATTGGGAAGATCCCCTGGAGAAGGAAATGGCAACTCACTCTAGTATACTTGCCTGGAGAATTCCATGGACAGAGGAGCCTGGTGGGCTACAGTCCATGGGGTCACAAAGAGTCAGACACAACTGAGTAACTAACACACCTAAAAAAAACTTAGATTTCAAGTGTCCAGATTATTGTAACCAAAGAGAAGTGCTTAAATAAATATTAAGCAGGCTTTTCTATGAAGCCATAACATCCTCATCTGAACTCTGTGGATACTGGGGAGCACTGCTTAAATTCAATATGCACTTCTGTCCCACCTCCACTACCATCACCGCACCTCTGCACATATGAGTAGGAAAGGATCTGAATGAGAGGACATCCAGGATGGGAGCCTCTTGTATGAAAGCATCCTGATTCAGATTAAGACCCAGCAGTTCCTTCCCCTCTTTGACAAGAAGAAAGGAAGAGGGCTTTAGGGAGTTGGTTAGGAAAGAACCTAGGAAGAATCTTTAAAAAGAGAACTGAGAAGAACTCTGACAGATTAGGCTACATAGAACACCCTAAAAACACAGGGGAAATTTTTAGTTCTCATTTGTGAAGCAGCTTAAAAGTAACTTCCCCCATGTTGAGTTATAACCCCTTGTTTCCATAGTTTCTTGAAGAAAATAATCTAACAAAACATGGTAGACTTTTTTTTTAATAGGCTGGAGTTTAGGAAAGAAACCATCCTCAAATTGCCCTTCACATCTCTCCTACACCATCTTCAAACCCTGACCAGGGGTCAAGGACATGGAGATGAAGAACTACAGCAGCAGCACTGCAGACTTTATCCTCCTGGGCATCTCTTCCAACCCCCAGATGCAGAAACCCCTCTTTGCTGTTTTCTTTGTCATGTACCTGGTCACCCTGGTGGGGAATGGACTCATCATCCTGGCCATCCACTATGACTCCCGGCTCCACACCCCTATGTACTTTTTCCTCAGCAACCTGTCCTTCATGGATATCTGCTTCACAACAGTCATTGTGCCCAAAATGCTGGTGAACTTACTCTCAGAGACAAAATCTATCTCCTATGTGGGTTGCCTGGTCCAGATGTACTTCTTCATGGCTTTTGCAAATACTGACAGCTACCTGCTGGCCTCTATGGCCATAGATCGGCTGGTAGCCATCTGCAACCCCTTCCATTATGATGTGGTCATGAGCCCACGGCATTGCCTCCTCCTGTTGCTGGGTTCGTGCACCATCTCTCACCTGCACTCCCTGCTGCGTGTGTTACTCATGTCCCGCCTGTCTTTCTGTGCCTCCCACGTCATCAAGCACTTCTTTTGTGATACCCAGCCTGTGCTCAAGCTCTCCTGCTCTGACACTTCATCCAGCCAGATGGTGGTCATGACCGAGACCCTGGCTGTCATTGCCACCCCTTTCCTGTGCATTCTCTTCTCCTACCTGAGAATCGTCATCACTGTGTTCAAAATCCCCTCTGCCGCTGGGAAGTGGAAGGCCTTCTCCACCTGTGGCTCCCACCTCACCGTGGTGGTCTTCTTCTATGGGAGTGTCATCTATGTCTACTTTAGGCCACTGTCCATGTACTCAGTGGTGAAGGACCGGGTAGCCACAGTTATGTACACCATAGTGACACCCATGTTGAACCCTTTTATCTACAGCCTGAGGAACAAAGATATGAAGAGGGGTCTGAGGAAAATAAGGGACAAAATTCATTCATAGAAAAACATCAAGAGTGAATGTCATCATTGGGAGATGACCTAAGAAATGATCAGGTTATCCCTCCTGTGTATCCATTTTTCACATGGTACCCAAAGAGGCCATAAGAGGTGGTGTTGAATCCCAGTAAGAGTACTGATCTGGAAGTCAGATCATTTGGCCTCTATCAATGACCTTGAACAAATATATGTTCAATCCCTGACCAAGTATTGCTAGAATTCCAGATTTAGGAAAACAGATTCTGCTACCCATATAGTAAAATAATAAAACTACCCCAAAAGAATTCTTTCACACGCTTCACACTGGCTAGTGCCCAAGAAATCATGAAGTCCTGTTATTTTAAAAATAAGAAATGATGTGGGTTTGATAGAAAATTAGGAAAGATTTCTTGGAACAATGACCTAAGATTGTCCTTAAAGATAGCTTGAATTTTGAGAAGAAGATTCAATAGAAGAGAAGATGAGCAGAGCATTTCAAAGAATAGGAACAAATTTTCTCAGTATATAAAAAAAGACCCAAAAGATTAAAGGTCTAAATGTAATGTAAATCCATGGCTGATTCATGTCAATGTATGGCAAAAACCACTACAATATTGTAAAGTAATTAGCCTCCAACTAATAAAAATAAATGGGAAAAAAAAAGTTTCTCTCCAAGCACAAAACAAGAAAAAAAAAAGATCTAAATGTAAGACCTGATCCATAAAATTTCTAGAGCAAAACAAAACAGTCTTTAACATAAATCGTAGTGATATTTTTTTTAAGATCTTTCTTCTAAGACAAAAGAAATAAAGGCAAAAAAATATAATGGGACCTAAGTCAACTTAAAAACTTTTGCACAGCAAAAAAAACAATTGACAAAATGAAAAGATAACCTAACAAATGGGAGAAAATGCTTGGCTGTTATCCAAAATATTTAAATGTCTCATACAACTCAACAACAACAAAAAAAAACAACAGTACAATTTTAAAATGGCAATAAAACTCGAACTGACATTTTTCAAAAGAAGATATACAGATGGCCAACAGGAATTTGAAAAGATACTCAACATCTCTAATCACCAGAGATTGCAAATCAAAACCACAATGTGATATCCCTTCATACCTGTCAACAGGGTGATCATCAAAGTCTACAACTAACGAATGTTATCAAGGCTGTAGAGAAAAGGGATCCTTAGTAAACTTGGCGGGAATGTAAATTCGTGCAGCCACTGTGGAAAACAGCATGGATTTTCCTCAAAAAAATAAAAAGAGAAATACCATGCATGCATGCGTGCTAAGTCACATCAGTCATCTCAGACTCTGTGAGACCCTATGACCTGTAGCCTGCCAGGCTCCTCTGTCCATGGGATTCTCCAGGCAAGAATCCTGGAGTCAGTTGCCATGCCCTCTTCCAGGGGATCTTCCAGACCCAGGAATTGGACCCACGTCTCCTGCGTCTCCTTCATTGCAGGCAAATTCTTTACCGCTGAGCCACAAGAAAGCCCAGAAATAACATATAATGCAGTAATTCTACTCTTAGTAATATATTATAAAAATAACACTAATTCAAAATAATGCATGCACCCCCAATGTTCACAACTCACTATTTATAATAGCCATTATAGAAGAACCCAAGTATTCCTAAAAAGATGAATGGCACACACACATATGCTTCCCAGGTGGCTCAATGGTAAAGAATCATCCTTCTGATGCAGGAGATGTAAGAAATGCAGGTTCAATCCCTGGGTCAGGAAAATTCCCTGGGTTCCCTGGAGTAGGAAATAGCAACCCACTCCAATATTCTTGCCTGAGAAATTCCATGGACAGAGGAGTCTGGTGGGATACAGTCCATGGGGGTCACAAGAGTTCAACACAACTGAGTGACTGAACACACACACACACACGCGTACCCACACATACATGTATACACAATGGAATACTACTCAGCCATACAAAAGAGTGAAAATACTGCCATTTAAAACACTGTGGATGAACCTAAATGGTGGACCTTCGTGAACTAAGCCAAGCAAAGAAACAACTATTCTGTTATCATTTCTGTGTGGAATCTAAACGTAAAACAAATGAATGAATATTTTAATAAAAACAGAAACAGACTCAAAGATGTAGAAAACAAACTAGTGTTTACCAGTGAACTAAGCCAAGTGGGGAGGGGCAATATAGGGGTAGAGGATTAAGAGATACAAACTACAATGTGTTAAAAAAAAAACAAACAAGGATATATTGTACAGCACAGGGAACTATAGCCATTATTTTTATATAGTAAACAGTATAATTTGCCAAAATATTGCAAATTATTAATCACTATGTTGCACACCTGAGGCTAAAATAATATAATAAATCATCTGTAGTTTAATTTAAAAAAAATAGTGGAAACCACCCAAGCAGATAAAAGCAATAAACACTGGAATGTGTTTGAGAGGCAGAGAAAAGCACTGTGCAGCTTGTTCAATTTGAGAGCAGGGAGACTAGGATGAGAACACAGAGGTTGCCATTAGGCAGTCACTACGGCTGCCCCCAGCCATGCACCCTGAGGAGACTCAGGATGAAAACATATAGGATAATGGCCCCAGATAGCTGAGTATATAGCAAAGGAATGATTTCCTAGAGGCCAGACTTTGCATCTTCCCATCTGGTCCCACTTCATGGCAAATAGATGGGGAAGCAATGGAAACAGTGAGAGACTTCATTTTCTTGGGCTCCAAAGTCACTGCAGATGGTGCACTACAGCCATGAAATTAAAAGACGCTTGCGCCTTGGAATAACAGCTATGACCAAACTAGACAGCATATTAAAACGCAGAGACCTTTGCCAACAAAGGTCCATCTAGTCAAGGCTATGGTTTTTCCAGCCATCATGAGAGTTGGACTATAAATAAATCTGAGCACCAAAGAATTGATGCTTTGAACTGTGGTGTTGGAGAAGACTCTTGAGAGCCCCTTGGACTGCAAGGAGATCCAACCAATCCATCCTAAAGGAAATCAGTCCTGAATATTCATTGGAAGGACTGATGCTGAAGCTGAAACTCCAATACTTTGGCCACCTGGTACAAAGAACTAACTCATTTGAAAAGACCCTGATGCTGGGAAATGTTGAAGGCAGGAGGAGAAGGGGATGACAGAGGATGCGATAGTTGGATGGCATCACTGACTAGATGGACATGAGTTTGAGTAAGCTCCAGGAGTTGGTGATGGACAGGAAAGCCTGGTGTGCTGCAGTCCATGGGGTTGCAAAGAGTCGGACGCGACTGAGTGACTGAACTGAACTGATACATAGAATAATGAGAGTTTGAGAGGCTGTATTCTAGGCTGAAGTCCTCGTTTTGGTCTGCCAAATAAAATACAATTCTCAGCTTTTAGGTTGTGCTTTTTTCTCTGTCAACCTCAAATAGCAAAATTAATTTTTGACATTTCCTGTGTACAATAAGTCACATCTAGCTACGTACAAAAAGATATATTTAGATAGGTAAAATAAACATCCAGGCAATGTAATATTAGTCAGCAATAGAAAGAAATGAGCTGATAAGCCATGAAAACACATACAGAAGAACTTTCAAGCATGTGCTACCTGAAAGAAGCCAATCTGACAAGGCTACATTCTATATGATTCCAACTCCCAGAAAAGGCAAATCTACAGCAGTAAAAAGATCAGTAGTTGCTAAGGGCTGAGGGAGGAAAGAAAGATTAGATGGAACACAGGAATTTTAAGGCAATAAAACTATTCTGGATGATACTATGATAACAGATACATGCCATCATATTTTTGTTAAAACTCATAGAAGGTACAACATCAATGTAAACTATGGACTTTGGGCGATGATATGTCTATATAGGTTAATCAGTTATATCAAATGTACTCTGGTGGGGAAGGGTAATTGTGGGGGAAGCTTTGTGTATATAAGGAGAAGGAAATGGCAACCTACTCCAGTAGTCTTGCCTGGGAAATCCAATGGATAGAGGAGCCTGAAAGGCTATAGTCGCAAAAGAGTCGGACATAGCAGAGCGACTAAACAACAAAAACTATACCTACAGACAGGTGTAATGGGGACACTCTGTACTTTCTGATCAACTTCTCCATTATTCTATACACACTCTGAAAGATAAAGTCTATTTAAAGGAAAAAATTGAAAAAAAGTAAACAAAATGCATATCTAAAAGTTGTGATTGCTATATCACTTATACTTGAGGAGAGTGTGGATTAAAGAAGTTAAATAACTTTTCCCAGTTCACCCAAATAGAGATTGCTGGGAGTGAAATACAAAAATAAGTAGTCTAGCTTAAGATCTTGAAGTAATGAAGTGTTTAAGAAAGACAAACAAAAATCAATCAAAAATGAGTTTCAAAAAGGTTAACTCTG